GGCCGTTTGCGGTCAGGTACGCTGCGCACCAGATCAACCTCCACCCCAGGGTCTCTCGACCGGAGACCTCCCCAGCTCTGTTGTGGACGGGGAAGGTTGGCGATGCGTCGGCGTTCCGGGTCTGGGGATCTCGGGCGTTTGTTCGCGACCTGTCTGCGGACAAGCTGTCCCCTCGTGCTTCTCCCTGCGTCTTCCTCGGGTTCCCCCCCCGACGCCCCTGGGTGGCAGTTTTACCACCCCACCTCTCGACGTGTTCTGTCCTCCCAGGACGTCACGTTCGACGAGTCGGTACCCTACTACCGCCTCTTCCCCTACCGCACTCCGTCCCTCCCCCCACCCCCGCTCTTCTTGGTACCAGGTCCCCCCCCAGTAGTCCCCCTCCCCCCTCAGGGTCCTGCCCCTTCAGGTGTGTCTCAGGTAGACGCGGTCGAGCCTGTCGAGGTCCCTGGTGACTCCGGTGCTGCTGCGGGAGCTGAGCCTGGAGGTGCGGAGTCTAGGGGTGCTGAGCCTGGGGGTGCGGAGTCTGGGGGTGCTGAGCCTGGGGGTACTGTGCCTGGGGGTGCTGTGTCTGGAGGTACTGAGCCTGGGGGTGCTGAGCCGGGAGGTGCCGAGCCTGGAGGTGCTGTGCCTGGGGGTGCTTCGTCTCACCGGGAGCCGCTCTCTCCACTAGAGCTGCGTGAGTGGTTTGCCCGGCGCTGGAGGCGTGCCGCTGGTGCTGGTGGTTCTTCGGCTGCGGAGGGCGCTGCTGCCACGCGACCTGGCGGTGCTCGTCCTGTGGGTGCTGGAGCTGCTGGGTCTGAGTGTTCTCCTGGAGCTGGTCCTGCTGAGGACGTTGGCGCTGAGCCTGCGGTTGGTGGTCCGACTGACGGTGCTCCTGGTGCTGCTGCTGGAGGTTCTGGAGCTTCTGGTGGTTCTGCTGGAGGTGCTGCTGGAGTGGGTGCTCCTGCCGGGGGTGCTGGTGCTGTTCCTGCTGTTTCTGGCGTCGCCGCGCGGCCCCGACCGTACTTCGTTCCGCTCCTGCAGCAGGTTCTTGGTCTTACACCTCCTCCTCCTTCCTTAGAGGGTCCGCAGCCTGTCCGGTCACAGCCACAGCTACAGCCTGCCTCCCCTTTGCCTGCTCCTTCTCCCTACGCTGGTCCGACTGGAGGTCTTACTGAGCGTCGTGAGCCTGCGTCTCGTCCTGCGTCGCCTGTTCGTACTGAGCGCGCTAGTGGTCGCGGGTCGCGTCAGCGTCCTCCTCCTGTCCCTGGCACGCACCGGATGTCACTGCGTCCGTCCACTGCTCCTCTGCGTGCCCCTTTGCCTTCTCCTCCTGCTTCCTCTCTTCCTGCTCCTGCCGACCCGGAGTCGGACTCTCTTCGTGCTGCCAGTCCTACTGTCACGCGTCTCCTTGCTACTGCTGTCACTGACCCTTCCTTCGAGTCGTCTGCTGCGTCTGCCCTTGTCACTGAGCTTGTCGACTTTGCTGCGCGCTGTCGTCTAGACTACGCTGCTCGTCTTGTCGCTGAGTCTGAGTCCGCCTGTCCTCCGTCCGTCGGGGGTGAGTGTGCCCTTGGCACGGACGTCCTAGAGGACAGGCAGGAGGAGTTCCAGTGTCTAGCCGCTGCTTCACCTCGTCTCGCGTCTGTACTGCTAGCCCCTGAGGGAGACCCGGATGCACTAGACATCCCGACTCCGCGTTCTTACGCGGAGGCCGTAGAGGGTCCCTACTCCTCTCAGTGGCAGGCAGCTATGGATGCAGAGATGGCTTCCTGGAAGTCCACAGGCACCTACGTTGACGCGGTTCCCCCTCCTGGGGCGAACATCGTCAGTGGCATGTGGATCTTCAGGGTGAAGCGGCCGCCGGGCTCGCCGCCTGTCTTCAAGGCGCGTTACGTGGCTCGTGGCTTCAGTCAGCGGCAGGGAGTTGACTACTTTCAGACCTTCTCTCCCACCCCGAAGATGACCACTCTTCGGGTGCTGCTGCACATTGCCGCTCAGCGCGACTACGAGCTTCACTCTCTCGACTTCAGCACTGCGTTCTTGCAGGGTAGCCTGCACGAGGAGATCTGGCTTCGCCGTCCACCTGGCTTCACTGGGACTTTCCCTCCTGGCACCCAGTGGAGCCTCCGACGGCCAGTCTACGGTCTCCGCCAGGCACCGCGTGAGTGGCACGACACACTGAGGACTACGCTTGCGGCTCTTGGGTTTGCTCCTTCTACTGCTGACCCGTCGCTGTTTCTTCGCACCGACACTTCCCTGCCGCCGTTCTACATCCTCGTGTACGTCGACGACTTGGTCTTTGCCACAGCGGACACTGCTGGACTCGCCTACGTGAAGTCCGAGCTGCTGAAGAGACACACGTGCACAGACCTGGGTGAACTGCGCAGCTACCTTGGCTTGCAGATCACTCGGGACAGAGCACGCCGCACCATTACCCTGACTCAGTCACACATGGTGCAGCAGGTCCTTCAGCGCTTCGGCTTCACGTACTCCTCGCCTCAGGCCACTCCTCTGCCTACTCGCCACTCACTCTCAGCTCTGCCTTCGGATGAGTCCGTAGAGTCGAGTGGTCCGTATGCAGAGCTTGTTGGCTGCCTCATGTACCTGATGACCTGCACTCGACCTGACCTTGCATACCCTCTGAGCATCCTTGCACGCTATGTTGCTCCTGGGAGACACCGACCAGAGCACATGGCTGCAGCGAAGAGGGTATTGCGCTACCTGTGCAGTACGTCGGGCATGGGGCTAGTGCTTGGAGGGCGGAGTCCAGTGGTCCTTACTGGGCACGCAGACGCTTCTTGGGCTGACGACCAGGCTACGCAGCGGTCGTCACAGGGTTACACCTTCAGCCTTGGTTCCGGCTCTGTCTCGTGGCGGTCTACTCGCTCGTCTTCGGTTCTCGGCTCCAGTTGTGAGGCTGAGATCTACGCCGGGGCCATGGCTGCACAGGAGCTTCGCTGGCTCACCTACCTGCTGACTGACCTTGGAGAGCTGCCTCGTTCTCCTCCAGTGCTGTACGTAGACAACAAGGCCATGTTGGCCTTGTGTCGAGAGCAGCGCTTGGAGCACAGAACGAAGCACATTGCTCTCCGCTACTTCCTTGCTCGTGAGCTGCAGCAGCGTGGTCAGTTGCGACTTGCTTACGTGGCCTCTGAGGCCAACACTGCTGATGTGTTCACCAAGGCACTTGCGCCTTGCGACCATCAGCGCTTTTGTACCCAGCTGGGTCTTGTACCTGTCTTGCCTCACTTGCTCTCTTCTTGACTTTACTTGTACTTTGACATATATATACCTGCTCTTGCTTGTCTAGTTTTATATATATGTCTTTACTCCTGCATGTGAACTGGCCTCTGGCCTTGCTCTTGTGCTCGGACTGTGTGGTGACTTTGTGATCCACCCTGAGCTTGTTTTGCTTTGCTTGACTGGTCTTGTGACCCCTTGTTCTCCCCCACTTTGCCTATGGGGGTGTGTCAGATTATTATAGCTGATGCATGTTTGTAGGCTATAGTGGGGTAGCAGTTTGCTAGGGTTGTATTTTGTACCCAACTCTGACTTAGTCATTCATTCCTCTGCTCATAGTTTCACATCCCTGAGTAGCTCTCATACCATGTTACAATCCCAAGTGGGACTTAGCGAAGGATCGCTCAGGGTTGATCGCGGGAGTAGTTGCAGCGGAAGTTTGAATCTCAGGTCAGAGTGAATGTAAAATGACTGAGTTGATAATAGCATGCATACATCGAGTTTATATAAGAGTACAAGGGAATACGAAAGGACTGTCAGAACATTATAGCTTATGCTTTTGTGTAGGCTGTAGTGGGGTATCCCATAGGGGGTACAACCCAATTAGGGTTAGTACTTGTACCCACTTCATTCAGAGTTCATTCATTCTCGTTCAATTCTTCTCATGGTATCGAGCAGGTTCCCCTGTGGGAACTGCGCTTAGGGCCCACCACTTCGATTTTTTTTACTGCCCGAAGCGCACTCATCCCGAGTCGCGCCTCGGGCTATTCACTCACCGAGCCGCCCTAGCGGCCTTCTCTCCCCTAGCGGCCCTGCCGCCCTACGCTTCGCGGCCCCGCCGCCCTGCTATCGCGGCCCCGCCGCCCTTCCTTAGCGGCCCCGCCGCCCTTCCTTCGCGGCCTCGCCGCCCTGCTATCGCGGCCCCGCCGCCCTTCCTTCGCGGCCCCGCCGCCCTGCTCACGCGGCCCCGCCGCCCTCTGCTAAGCGGCCTCGCTGCCCTCTGCTAAGCGGTCCCGCCGCTCGACTTCAGCGGCCCCGCCGCCCTGCTATCGCGGCCCCGCCGCCCTTCCTTAGCGGCCCCGCCGCCCTTCCTTCGCGGCCCCGCCGCCCTGCTCACGCGGCCCCGCCGCCCTCTGCTAAGCGGCCCCGACGCCCTCTACTAAGCGGCCCCCCCCCCGCCCTGCTTCAGCGGCCCCACCGCCCTGCACTTCGCGGCCCCGCCGCCCTTCCTTAGCGGCCCCGCCGCCCTTCCTTCGCGGCCCCGCCGCCCTGCTAACGCGGCCCCGCCGCCCTCTGCTAAGCGGCCCCGCCGCCCTGCACTTCGTGGCCCCGCCGCCCGACTTCAGCGGCCCCGCCGCCCTTCCTTAGCGGCCCCGCCGCCCTGCTTGAGCGGCCCCACCGCCTCCCTTAGCGGCCCTGCCGCTCTCCTCTCCTGCCGCGCCACCCGAGCCACCGCCCACTGCACCACCCTGCAGCGTGCACCCGAGCAGCCGACCGCCGCGCCGCCGAGTACCAGAGGAGCCGAGCCGCCTAGCCGCTGTGCAGCCCAGCCGCCCAGCAGCCGAGCCGCCCAGCAGCCGAGCCGCGGAGCCGCCGAGCCGCAGTACTGCCGAGCTGCCCAGCAGCCTGCCGCCGAGCCGCCGAGCCGCCCAGCCGCCGAGCCGCCCCGCAGCCGAGCCGCCCTACTGCCGAGCCGCCCGACCTGCCCTGTCTGGTGAGCACAGCCCCACTGCTACTGCGTGCCCTTCCCCAACTACTTGCACTGCTAGTCTGTCGTCATGGCCACCCCCAGTGTCCTCGCTTTTGACGCAGAGGGTCGAGCCATTGACTTTGAGGTCTCGGTCGACGACCTGCAGCTGTTCTTACAGTGCGATAGGGCGGACGGTCTTTCTCTCTTTGACCTCACCTCTGGCGCCTCTCCTGCCCCTGCTGCTGATGCTGACCCCACTGTTCGCTCTTAGTGGGCCATCCGCGATGCTGCTGCACGTCTTGCTGTGCATCGCCACCTCCCTACCACTGAGCGCGCGCACTTTAGTCAGTACAAGAGTGCTCAGACCTTGTACGACGTTGTAGTTGCGCGCTACTCTTCCCCTGCCACTGCTGCACTGAGCCACCTCATGCTACCGTACCTCTTTCCTGATCTTGCTGCCTTTCCCACAGTCGCTGACCTCATTACGCACCTCCGCACTAGTGACACCCGCTACCGCGCCGCGCTTCCTGCTGAGTTCTGCGCCAAGAACCCCCCCCCCATGTACATCACTCTCTATTACATAGTCACCCACCTCCCTGACTCCCTTCGCGTAGTCAGGGACCACTTCCTCTCAGTGTGTCCCACTACTCTCACTGTTGACCTCCTCGAGAAAGGCCCTCCTGGCAGCGGAGAAGAGCATCGTCGCTGTAGGAGCTTCTCGTGGTGACCCTTGCACCCCCATCTTTGAGGGGTGTTCTCCTTCCCCCCTGCTGCCCTCTGTTGCCTCTGCTGCTGCCGCCGACCTGCTTGGCCTTGAGTCGGTCGGCGCGGCGTCTGCCCCTAGCGGGAGACGCCGCCCTGGCAAGGGCAAGGGGGGCAAGGGCGCGGGTGGAGCTGGCGGGGGCGGTGGAGGTGGCGGTGGAGCGGGCGGAGGGAGTGGGGGTGGCGGTGGGAGTGGTGGCGGGGGTGGCGGTGGTGGTGGCAGTAGCGGAGGCGGAGGCGGTGGCGGCGGCGGTGGTGGCGGAGGCGGAGGCGGCGGTGGTGGCGGAGGTGGAGGCGGTGGTGGCGGAGGGGGTGGAGCTGGTCGGGGTGGTGCCCCGCAGCGGAGCGGCTCTGGTGGTGGTCAGCGCCAGCAGCAGCAGCAGCAGCAACAGCAACGTTCTCGGGACATCCCCCCGCCTCAGCAGCTCCGTGAGTGGTACACGCAGCGTCAGCGTGGTGGGGGCTTTGGTCCGTCCTACGTCCTCCGTTCCGGCGACCGCGCGGGTGAGCAGTGTGGGTGTGCCCACTCCACTCAGCGTTGCTTTGGCCGCCTGACGGACACTTGGCGTTAGCAGTTCCCCGAGGCTAGTGAGATCCCCCGCTGGGGAGAGCTGTCTAAGACTGGCATAGCTATCTTTGATCTTATCCTTCCTGCCATGTATGCTGTGACTATTAGTGATGAGGGTGACTGTTACCGGTGTTTCCCGCCCGACCCGGGCATTGGTACTGCTGCGCTAGGTGCTTGTGAGGCTGCTGCTTTAGGTGCCAGTGCGTCTGCGCTCTCAGGTACTGGTGAGGCTGCGCTCTCAGGTACTGCGCCGGCTTCGGCCTCCCTCACCTTCACACTTGACTCCGGGGCTTCTCGCTCCTTCTTTCAAGACCGCACCACACTCACGCCACTTGGTCGGCCGGTTGCAGTCTCCCTGGCTGACCCCTCTGGGGGTCCTGTCCTCTCTCACTTCTCCACTGTCCTTCCGTGTCCGGCTGCCCCCTCGGGCACCCTGTCTGGTCTGTACCTCCTCTCGTTCTCGACGAACCTAGTGAGTGGTGCTGACCTACAGGATGCGGGGGCTCACCAGTTTACTCCTGCGAGTCAGCGGGTGACCCACTGCTCAGATGCCCGTACAGGCCGACACCTGGCCACGTTCTCGCGTCGGCCAGGGTCGAGTCTCTACACCCTGACCACTGAGTCTCCTCCTGTCCCTGCGTCTGGCCAGGTAGCTGCGTCGTGTCAGGTGTTTGCTGCTTCGTCCCGGTCTGGTCCTGAGTCTGCCCCCTGCTCGTGTCGCCTCCTGTCTCACGAGACTCTCCTGTGGCACCACCGCCTGGGCCACCCCTCCTTGCCGCGTCTTCGGGGCATGGCTTCCCGTGTCCTTGTCTCTGGTCTTCCTCGGTCTCTCCCTCCCCTTCCTTCGGGGCCAGGACCTTCCTGTATCCCCTGTGTCGAGGGGCGGCTCCGGGCTGCCCCTCACTCCTCCCAGTTTCCCCCGACAGAGGCTCCTCTGCAGACGCTTCACATGGACGTGTGGGGCCCGGCCCGCGTCCGTGGACAGGGTCACGAGCGCTACTTCCTGCTGGTGGTTGACGACTACTCGTGTTACACCACGGTCTTCCCCTTGCGCAGCAAGGGTTGTCGAGAGTTGAACGAGAAAGAGTTAATATTAAGTAGGGCCTAGGCTTAGTAGCCTAGGCCCAAGTAGGATATCGAGCGGGTTTCACCTAGGGTGAGTATCGAGTGAGTTGGAAGAGAAGTTGGGTGAATATGTGGCTTCACTATAGTTTCGAAGTACATATAGCAAAAGAAACACATAAGGTGCACCACCAAACAAAGTTTAAATAACTACACTAACTACAGCTACAGGCAGTTACAAATATAAGTTGTGACACTCCCCCATAACTGCCTGCAGCAGGAGTATGTGCAGAATACAACCTGCAGGTGTACACATGCAAAATAATAAAAAGAAAGCAACAGCAGGTAATGCAGGCGGGCTGACACTAGCTGGTCACCCCCTCCATCTCCTCACCCTCCTCCTTCCCCTCCCCCACACTGCTGCAGAAGCAGCAGAGAAGGGGGGGAGAGAGGAGAGGTGGAGGGACGGCTGCTTGTTGTCTCACACCCTCCACCCCGGTACCACTCCCCCTGCTCCCCCACATCCTCACACCCTCCCCCCCAGCGGCAGCTGCAGCGGTGGGACTGAAAGAAGGAGGAGGGAAAGGGAAAGAGTTGACCCAACACTCCAACACCCGCCACCCCCATACCCTCCTCCCCACGGCTGCAGGGAGACAAAGGAGGAGGGGGGGTGGGCGGGAAGAAAGCCGCAGAGCGGCTAAACGATGTCGGCGCAGAGAGGTCAGGGGCGGCTTCAGGGAGAACAGGGGCGGAAAGGCCCGTCGCGTGCCACGCGGCGCAACGACGGGTAAGTTAAGAGAAAGGGCCCGATCGTGTGCAACGGGGCGCACGACGAGCAGGGCACCGTCGCATGCCACGGGGCGCACGACGGGCAGGTAAAGGGCACCGTCGCGTGCCACGGGGTGCGCGATGGGCAGAAAATGCGTCACACGCCAACCGGGGGCGGGACAAGGTAAAAATCGTCACGCGCCCTAGGCGCGCGACCGGAAAATCGTAGCAGCGGAAACGTGAGGCCAGAACGAACGTCGCTCTGATAACATGTCGAGAGTTGAACGAGAAAGAGTTAATATTAAGTAGGGCCTAGGCTTAGTAGCCTAGGCCCAAGTAGGATATCGAGCGGGTTTCACCTAGGGTGAGTATCGAGTGAGTTGGAAGAGAAGTTGGGAGAATGTGTGGCTTCACTATAGTTTCGAAGTACATATAGAAAAGGAAACACATAAGGTGCACCACCAAACAAAGTTTAAATAACTACACTAACTACAACTACAGGCAGTTACAAATATAAGTTGTGACAAGGGTGATGTCACTGAGGTGTTGATCGACTGGATCCGCGCAGCTCGTCTCCAGCTCAGGAGGAGCTTCGCCTCGGACTTTCCTGTTCTGCGTCTGCACTCTGACCGAGGTGGGGAGTTCTCCTTTGGCCTTCTGCGAGCCTACTGCCGTGCACGAGGCATCCGTCAGACCTTTACGCTTCCGGACTCTCCGCAGCAAAATGGGATTGCTGAGCGCCGCATTGGCATGGTCATGGACGTCGCTGGTACGTCCATGATGCATGTGGCTGCCCCCCATTTTTTGTGGCCGTTTGCGGTTCGGTACGCGGCGCATCAGCTCAACCTTCACCCCAGGGTCTCCCGGCCGGAGACCTCCTCAGCCTTGCTGTGGACGGGGAAGGTCGGCGATGCGTCTGCGTTCCGTGTCTGGGGATCTCGGGCGTTTGTCCGCGACTTGTCTGCGGACAAGCTGTCCCCTCGTGCTGCTCCCTGTGTCTTCCTTGGCTTCCCCCCTGACGCGCTAGGGTGGCAGTTCTACCACCCCGCCTCTCGTCGTGTTCTGTCCTCCCAGGACGTCACGTTCGACGAGTCCGTCCCCCTCTACCGCCTCTTCCCCTACCGCACTCCGTCCCTCCCCCCGCCTCCGCACTTCCTAGTACCAGGTCCCCCCCCCGTAGACCCCCTACCCCCTCAGGGTCCTGCCCCTTCAGGTGTGTCCCAGGTAGACGCGGTCGAGCCGGTCGAGGTTGCTGGTGACTCTGGTACTGCTGCGGGTGCTGAGCCTGGGGGTGCTGGGTCTGGGGGTGCTGCAAGTGGGGGTGCTGAGCCTGGGGGTGCTACGCCTGGGGGTGCTGAGCCTGGGGGTCCTGCGTCTGAAGCTGGTGAGCCTGGAGGTGCTGAGTCTGGAGCTGCTTCGCCTGGGGGTGTTGCGTCTGGAGCTGCTGAGCTTGGGGGTGCTGAGTCTGGAGCTGTTGAGCCTGGGGGTGCGGAGCCCACGGCCGCTGGACCTGCTCGTGTGCCGTCTAGCGGTGCTGGGCCTGGTGGTTCTCTGGGTGCTTCGTCTCGGCGGGAGCCACTCTCGCCACAGGAGCTACGCGAGTGGTTTGCCCGGCGCTGGAGGCGTACTGCTGGAGCTGGAGTTTCTTCGGCTGATGAGGGTACTGGAGCTGCTGTACCTGCGCGTACGTCTGGTGCTAGTCCTGCGGATGGTGCTGGCACTGAGGCTACTGCTGTCGGTCCTGCCGGCGGTTCTGCTGCGGGTACTGCTGGTGCTCTTGGAGGTGCTGCAGCTGGTGGTGCTGGTGGCGGTGGTGTTGACGCTGAGGGTGTTGGTGCTGTCCCTGCTGAGTCTGGAGTCGCCGCGCGGCCTCGGCCGTACTTCGTTCCGCTCCTTCAGCAGGTTCTTGGTCTTCCTCCTCCCTTAGAGTGTCCACCGCCTGTCCAGTCACTGTCACAGTTACCGCCGGCCTCCCCTCTACCTGCTCCTTCTCCCTACACTGGTCCTACTGGAGGTCTTGCTGAGCTTCGTGAGCCTGCGTCGCCTGTTCGTGCTGCTCGCGCTAGTGGTCGCGATTCGCGTCAGCGTCCTCCTCCTGTTCCTGGCACGCACCGGATGTCTCTGCATCCATCCACAACTCCTCTGCGTGCCCCTTTGCCTTCTCCTCCTGAGTCCTCTCTTCCTGCGCATGCCGACCCGGAGTCGGACTCTCTTCGTGCTGCCAGTCCTACTGTCACGCGTCTTCTTGCTACTGTCGTCACTGACCCCTCTTTTGAGTCCACTGCTGCGTCTGCACTGGTTACTGAGCTCGTCGACTTTGCTGCCCGCTGTCTCCTAGACTACGCTGCTAGTCTTGTTGCTGAGTCTGCGTCTGTCTGTCCTCCGTCCGTCGGGGGTGAGTGTGCTCTTGGCACACACGTCCTTGAGGACAGGCAGGAGGAGTTCCAGTGTTTGGCTGCTGCTTCACCTCATCTCGCGTCTGTACTGCTTACCCCTGAGGGAGACCCGGATGCACTAGACATTCCGACTCCGCGCTCTTACGCGGAGGCCGTAGAGGGTCCCTACTCCTCTCAGTGGCAGGCAGCTATGGATGCAGAGATGGCTTCCTGGAAGTCCACAGGCACCTACGTTGACGCGGTTCCCCCTCCTGGGGCGAACATCGTCAGTGGCATGTGGATCTTCAGGGTGAAGCGGCCGTCGGGCTCTCCACTTGTCTTCAAGGCGCGGTACGTCACTCGTGGCTTCAGTAAGCGGCAGGGAGTTGACTACTTTCAGACCTTCTCTCCCACCCCGAAGATGACCACTCTTCGGGTGCTGCTGCACATAGCCGCTCAGCGCGACTACGAGCTTCACTCCCTTGACTTCAGCACTGCTTTCCTGCAGGGTAGCCTGCACGAGGAGATCTGGCTGCGCCGTCCACCTGGCTTCACTGGGACTTTCCCTCCTGGCACCCAGTGGAGCCTCCGACGGCCAGTCTACGGTCTCCGCCGGGCACCGCGCGAGTGGCATGACACACTGAGGACTACACTTGCGGCTCTGGGTTTGCTCCCTCTACTACTGACCCGTCGTTGTTTCTGCGCACCGACACCTCTCTTCCGCCGTTTTACATCCTCGTGTACGTCGACGACTTGGTCTTTGCCACAGCTGACATTGCTGGACTCGCCCACGTGAAGTCCGAGCTGCTGAAGAGACACACGTGCACAGACCTGGGTGAATTGCGCAGCTACCTTGGCTTGCAGATCACCCGGGACAGAGCACGCCGCACCATTACCTTGACTCAGTCACACATGGTGCAGCAGGTCCTTCAGCGCTTCGGCTTCACGTACTCCTCGCCTCAGGCCACTCCTCTGTCTACTCGCCACTCGCTCTCAGCTCTGCCTTCGGATGAGTCCGTAGAGTCAAGTGGCCCGTACCCAGAGCTTGTTGGCTGCCTCATGTACCTGATGACCTGCACACGACCTGACCTGGCATACCCTCTTAGCATTCTTGCACGCTATGTTGCTCCTGGGAGACACAGACCAGAGCACATGGCTGCAGCGAAGAGGGTGTTGCGCTACTTGTGCAGTACGTCGGGCATGGGGCTAGTGCTTGGAGGGTGGAGTCTAGTGGTCCTCACTGGCCGCGCGGACGTTTCTTGGGCTAACGACCAGGCTACACAGCGGTCGTCACAGGGCTACACCTTCAGTCTTGGTTCCGGCTCTGTTTCGTGGAGGGCTACTCGCTCGTCTTCTGTTCTCGGCTCCAGTTGTGAGGCTGAGATCTACGCCGGGGCCATGGCTGCACAGGAACTTCGCTGGCTCACCTACCTGCTGACTGGCCTCGGAGAGCCGCCTCGTTCTCCTCCAGTGCTATACGTAGACAACAAGGCCATGCTAGCCTTGTGTCGGGAGCAGCGCCTGGAGCACACAACGAAGCACATTGCTTTCCGCTACTTTCTTGCTCGTGAGCTGCAGCAGCGTGGCCAGTTGCGACTTGCGTACGTGGCCTTTGAGGCCAACACTGCTGATGTTTTCACCAAGGCACTTCCGCCTTGTGATCATCAGCGCTACTGCACTCAGCTGGGTCTTGTGCCTGTCTTACCTCACTTGCTCACCTCTTGACCTTGCTTGTACTCGTAGATATATATATATGCTGCTTTTGTTTGTTTAGCCTTATATATATATATGTGTACTCTTGCATGTGAATTG